TTCGTATCTTTACAAGTCACATATATCATCTTCAATACCTGACAAATCTCTTAGGACCTCTTTATTATACTTTCTTCTTCTGGAGAATAGACTTTTGATAGAAACAAGACACCATAATGGGAGATCTAAGAATCTGCCACATCAAAAGCTAACTCTTTGCAGCCTGCACTTTCCAGAAAAGTAAACAAAGCTTCTCAGTGAAGACTCTATATCTTATTGTGCCATTTTATCAATATTAACACCTCTCAAGAGTATATATAATATTTAAGAGAAATAAAAAATTACCCAGTTGTTTGACAGTGGCTCTGGCAAGGAATAAGAACCAAACTCATTAAACTGATCCACCAGAGCTAAGTAAATGAAAACTTTCTTGCTGCTTGGCCTGCTAAAATTCTCTCAATGTATCAGTGAATATTAGTTATGTCGAAAGGCCAGAGAAAACTCTTCCTTGTTCTTACTGATTACATTGTAGAAGGCGAGCCATATTAATCTAAGGTAGCCAAAAATTAGGTAAATCGGACAAAACCTTATATTAAAAGACACACTTTCATGAGCTGTGGCTCACAGCACTTTTAATGAAATGTGTTAGTCAGAATTGATGCCACTAGACGCCTCTTGATGTTTTGGTCTCACTAAGATCATTTGCTCTCCTGTTCAATGTCTTTATTCTTAAGAATATAAGAAAGCAATTATTTGCATGGAAGAGTTTTAAGCCTCCAGCGACAGTTTTAGAAATGACAACATGCAAAGCAATGCCACTCAAAAGGCTGGGTTTTGTTTTGAAGCTGGAATGCTCATATTGGCCATTTTGAGATAGAACAATTTAAAGTTGAAATATTCCACATGTCCTTGCTACATAAATATTCAGAGGTACTTATCAATATATACTTTTATGTAAATCTTAGGAAGCATATTTGGATGAAGTATTTTTGTTTAATCTTTTTAGAAACCTCAGGCAATGATCCATTAGATTAAAAAAAAAACATATCTGCATCTTATCAGAAATAAGTCTCATTAAATTCAGTGAGTCTTATTCCCAGATGAGTGCATGTAGCCTAGTCTATTATATTATCATGATCATCAAAACACGCATGATTCAACAGATTTAACAGAAAATGATTTAAACAACAAGGGGGAACCATCTTCAGTGCTCTTATTATTGATTTTTTCCCCTCTCTGTTTTTATGTTCATGATAAGGCATTTTACAGAGTTTGAAACCTCATTTTAAACTAGTGAGTTTCACCACAGTTTGCAATTATCTAGTATGGAATGTAAATTTTCCTACCTTGCAATTCCTGAATATATGATAAAACCTTGGCACATCTATCATATTCCTGTGAGGCAATGAGAACAGCTATAGTATCAAACAAGATGTAGCTTTTCAGTTTACATTATTAATTTATTTCAAGTATCTCTATATTACATTTGAATAAGAAAAAAAAATCAGAATTTGAAGCTAATTCTTTGATAAAGTACAGCAAATTTAAGGAGTCAATTTAGAATTTGTGTATCTATATGTGTGTGTACATGCATGTTTTACCATTACATAGGACTTTTCCTGTTATTTCTTTTTTAAAAATGTAAAATTTTAAAATTTACACAACAAGATTAATTAGATTGATTAAGGATCCAATAAGGTCTGTAAACTAATAAATCTAGTCATATTGTGATGAAAGATCAGTTTTAATCCAGTATGGTACCAGATCATTTGTGAATCCAACCTGTATCCCTGTTCTTTGAACCTTTCAACCCTGGGATTAAGTCTTCCCCAAACAATCCTCTAAGGGAATAAAATGAAAAAGCACAGAATAAAATGGGATTATCAAGACAAGGAAACACAGAAGATCTCCAAAGATGATCGGTGGCTATATTCAATCACACTCACTGCTGCTATGCTAGAAAAGAGTCACTATTACAATGAAGCTGTACTAGTATTCTCCTAACACAAGAGTTCAAAAGGCACCAGGCAGGACTAGATGAAACGAATAGCTCTTCCCTCAAATTATGACTGTGACTCACTTAGCAGGGTGTTAGTATTTTAAATTCATATATATTCTTTGCTTTTTTTAAAAAAAAAGTTGCATGTACTTTACTACAAAGTTTACATGGCTGAGTTCTTATATAAGAAAACAAATGAGGCCCATCTCAAAATAAAATAATTTCTTCACTCTGCAATACATATATCATGCTGGGTGTTGTAGGGAATTTTAAAGGGTCAAGTGACTGCCAATTAGAGTTATGACTGAAAGCAATTGCTTAGAATGTCAGTTGAAAATTTGCCTTTTTCAAAAAAGTAAAGAAAATTAAGGAGAGGGAAAACATGGATACATGTTATCTTGGTGGGGGAAATCTATGATTATATATCTTTCAGCCAAATAGGTGAAGAGCTCTTCAAAGCTCTTGTTCTAGGGCACCTAGAACTCTAAACAGGATAGATAAACTCTAAACAGGATAGATAAATATCACCTAAGGGTGATGATAGGCTACAATATTTTGTAACCAAATTAATATTATAAATAAACATCATTAACTTTAATTCCCCCCCCCCAAGTTTGCTCACTCAATAATTTGTCACCTAGCGCAGGGGTGTCAAACTCGTGGCATCATGACGTCATCATGTGATGTATTCCCCTTCGCTAAACCAGGTATGGGTGTGGCCAGCGTGTGATGCAACTGGCCTGTGGACCATGAGTTTGACAGCCCTGACCTATAGAGTCTAGAAATGCCATAATTTTATTTATTTTTTTAAAAAAATAGGACCTTGTAGAACATTAATTAAACAATACCTTCCTTTGCGTAAAGCATGTATATTTTTCCTTATGTTTGCTCCAATATAAATTTTCCTGCTGTGGTCTTACTAATATTTTTGACTAGTTTACTTTCACCCAAACATTGGATTGGAGACAAATTTATAATCACACTCACTGCTCCAATACTCTATAAACATCTACTTTCAAAAGTTTTGGAATTATAATTCTTGCATCCCAACATATTTGAAGGAAACTAAGAAGAGAAAGGCTAGTCTGGAACTTTTGTCTGCTTAATTCCACGACATCATTGCAAATAGAATTCATTCATTCTGGGAGATTCTTTTCATATACTTGCTCTTTGGCATGGCTTTGGACTCCAGTTAGAAATTTTAGAAGGCTAGAGAGAAAAATAAAACCAGAACACTGAAGCTATTTAACAGCATGTTGCAAAACATACTGCCAAATCCTAGGAGGACACTTTTACAACCAAGAGGTAGCTGCAATTAACAACCAGAGCAGTACAAGAGATGTAGTCTATTAGCACCGAGAGATGTTGGATTAGTGCATGCTGGTTCCTGCAAATATTATATGTAAATGAAATTGCAGGATTTGAATGAAGTTGAATGGTGCTACTCCAAAGCTAAATAGTTTCAAATATTTATCTAATCCAGGATTTTATAACAGCAGCAATTCAATGGTTTTAAAATGCAATCATGCCCTCATATATACTTTGGCATATGTATTACATTATAGCTTCCTCTATGAAGTTATTACAGTACTTTGATTTATATCGTAACAGCTTATTGACAACTGATTTATCTTCCAGGTAACCACAGACGTTCACAGATGGATTTACCATAAATTTACCATAAAGAAGAGTGGGGGGGGGAGTCTTGCACTCATATGGATGGTATTCCAAAACATAAGCTCCTATGGAATCCCACACAGTTCTGCTTTCCACCCACAGTCCACCCAGGTGAGTCCTTTCCTTCATAGCATCTACATTATTCTAGCCTTTCCATTTGATAAGTTCCCTGTTAGATTTAATTTCATATCAGGGTAATGTGATCTACATTCATGTTTACAGTATGTAAACATGTATGAACAATCTACACAATATCTAGATTTTTTTAAAAAAGAAAAAGTATAGGGTAGCCTTGCTATTTCTTTGGAGCCCAAGGCAATTTAAAAAAACTCTATATAGAGACACAACAACAGTTTATATAAGAGAGATCTGCTCTTTCGCATGATAGATGATAGAACACATTTCTCACTAACTGAATACCAAGCAATCATCTGTATCTCTGTTTTATATTTAATTCTTGCTGGATACCGTATAAATTCAAGAACAAAGGTTCAAAGATTTCCCTAGATAAATTTATTTTAATTTTAAGCACTAGCATGTCAACAGATATCTATTGTTGTTTTTTATGCCACATGGGAATGTGTTCCAATGGGAACACATTCAATGGAAGTATGGAATTTGGCTGCTAAATGCCATGTAAACTATTAATATCAAACAACAAACTAGCATCCAACATTTTTAACAAAGGGAGGGAAAATGTATTTAATGTAAAAGTTACTGTATTATTTCTATCACTAATTTGTTAAAGTGTTCTTTGTACCAAATGCAGACTCCTCCTCCTTTACTCTTCATACTCTTTCTCGTCACCTTTTGTACTTTTTCAAGAGGCATGTCCTCCAGAGCTGACTGAGACTTACTTGGGAAGAAAACGTGCTTAGATCCAGGCAGTTAAGGCATCACTAATGCTTCTCTCTGTCAAACACTGTACTCCTAAAGTTCAATGATGTACAGATATCCCAAGGGAGGCATATTCCACTAAACAAGAACTCAGGGTAGTAAAGTGAATTGTAATGGAAGGAGGATGACACTTTTATATACATTTTTTTAAAAAAGTTAAATCTTTCCTCAGTGAGAATCCCAGAAGCCTGCAAAAAGTACAAAGCAACATTCAGCACTGCAGAATTCAGTTGGAAGGATATATAAAAATAAAACTGATCCCCCTCCCCCCCCAAAAAAACACATTTGTGCCACAATACTATGAATCTAAACTCAAGAGTTTGATGAGCTTACCGTAACTCCCAGTGAATGGGCATAAGGCTTAAATCTCAGCACATTATTAACATTACATTAGACGATATTAATTATATCATATTCACATACACACACATACACAAACAGCTGCATCAAGTTTTGAGGAGCGAATAAAAGTTGTAGAGTTTCTTACCATCTGACAAGTCTATTAGTCCAAGGTAATGCAAAAGTTTCAGAGAAGAACAAATCACCACCACAATCCCTAAAGTCTGGAGCCCTTCCGACTCGCCTTTGCTCCACATCCTTTAAAGTAGCACACCGATCTGGTATGCTAAGAAAACGGCAGGCAGGAGTCGAAAGCAGGGGGAAAACCAGCCGTTTGATGCCTTTCTTCCTGCTGCTCTGTTAGTGCAAGCCTCATTTTCCTTCATTCATCCCTCTGCTTCTCTCCGTGTGTGCGGGAGTGAGAATCTCACCCTTTGCCTGTTTCCCTCTTCTTTCTCCTCCCCTCCTCCCCTAATACACACTCTTAAGGCTTATCATTTCTATATTTTAACTGATGATTTAGTCTCTCTCTCTCTGCCTCTCCAGAGCAGTTTGTATCGTTCATTTAGAACAAAACTCCACATTGCTAGTCATACAGCAGTGTCTGTGGTGGAGCTGTTATTTTCCACTAGGGATTATTTGTTTAACTCTTTTTCTTCTAGCTTTCCTTGCTTTGTACGATGGAAGATGTGGTAGGAAATCTCTCCCCAGTTCCCTTTCCCCTATTATACACTTCTCGATGCTCCAAGTAAGATATCTGAGTCTCAAGACTTCCATTCGGAAATATGCAGCTGGTCCAACTGAGGGCTTCAAATATGCCCAGGGGTCAGCTGAAGAAGTTGCAAGACCGAGCTAAGCACAACCTCTGCCTCACTTACTGCTGACACTACTACTAGTCATCCAGTTCCTCAGTTCCACTATTGGTCAATAAATGTAAAAACAGGGAGATGGTAACTTATTAACTTATTTTAATATGTCCCCAGTCAGCCAAAGCATATGTATTTTGTCCTTTAATAAATGATAAGTTATTGTTTAATAACGAGGCCCTCATCAGTCAAGTCAAGCCTTATTAATAAGCCTTTTAGGACTATGGATAGAATAGATCTTCCATTTTTAAATGCTGAAATCCAAGATTTTAGAGTTCGTGCCTGGAAGCATCGCCACATATCCAGCAAGCATACCATAATTTTCTAGAATAATTTCAGCTTCACTAAAATTATTTTTATTAAAACTGGTTATCCGGTGTCTGAAAAGGCTGCTGACTCTGCCCCATTCATATCAGATATTTGTGCTTGTGTTGTCTTTTTTTTTCCCAGATGGTTAAATCAGTCTTCCATCCAGCCTATGTTTTTAGATGTCAGAACTGTAGCCTGGAGAACTGGAAGCTGATAATTGTTTTTGTTCATGAAAATTTATGTTCCATGTAAGCATGTCTTATTTAATTTTAAATGTTAAGACAACGGGACACAGCTATCCGATTCCAATTCCACTAACATATTTTTCTATGCAGATTTTTTAAAATTATCTACACCTTATGTATTTGCTTAGTGAAAGGAGAAATTTCTTGAGAAATTTCCTGACAGAACATTAATCGGTGGAATGATATGCCTCCAGAAGTTGTGAGTGCTCTAACACTGCAGGCTTGTAAGAAAAGACTGGACAAGCATTTGTCTGAAATAGCATATGGTTTCCTGCATGAGCAGGGTTTGGGCTAGAAGACCTCCAAGGTCCCTTCCAACTCTGTTATTCTGTTAGGTTACATTTGTGCTAACTTTATGCTATTGTATTCCTTTAAGATCATAACTTTTGGGTTGCATTTCACATAATTCTTAACATATATTAGATTTTTTAAAAAATATAGTCAAAAGGTCTGGTCTTAGTATACATGTATTTATTTCAAATTTTTGTTGGTTTAAATTCCTTCTTTTAAAAATCCTAAAAATATGTCCCTTGGATAATACTGAAAGGAGTATAAAGATCTTGGAGAGCCCTGGTGGCGCAGCAGACTAAAGCACTGTTATTAACATCAGCTGCCTGCAATTACTGCAAGTTCAAATCTCACCAGGCTCAATGTTGACTCAGCCTTCCATCCTTTCTAAGGTAGGTAAAATGATGACCCGAATTGTGGGGGCAATAATCTGACTTTGTATAAATATACAAAAGTATGAAGGCTATTGCTTAACGCATTGTAAGCTGCCCTGAGTCTCCAGAGAAGGGCGGCATATAAATCAAATTAAAAAGAAAAATGTAATTCTCTAACTACATAAGCTCATATATCAGGGAGTCATCATACATACTTTCATGTATGTCCTTTCTTTCTTTCTTTAATCAAATTATATTTTCATTGAATCTTGGGAAAAAAATAACTTAGAACATTGCTGCAGTGTTAAATTAGATATGAATAGCAAATGCAGAATGGAAATGATACTATTAAAGAATAATGATGAAATGTGTCTGCATATTTGTGTGCTATCTTACACAGCAAACACACCACTTAAAGGTCAATCTTGTCAATCCAATTTAAACACTTATGTGGATTTTAGCCTTTTTGCTGCTTCCTGGTTATTTTAACTCTCAACATTTCCATCCAATGCATAGGCAGAAACAATATGAGATTTCTGCTTGTGTTCCATTGAACACTATATAAATTTCCTATTCAGATATTGTTATTCAATGCTGCAAAATCTAAAAATGAGAGGATGGGTTTTGTGTGTGGTGACATGAAAGGACTGGCATGCACAGCATTATTTCATTCTTAGCGTGGTCAGCTATGCTTTTCAAAATCTATTCGGTAATGCCATAAAATGTCATTCCTAGGTAGGTATAACTGGATAGCTTATTTTTTTAAAAAAAAATGTGTTAAAATCACTTGAAAAGTAAAATGTCTAATCAAGGTGAGTTTCAGACCAATACTTAATAAAAGATTACATTTTTTTTCTTTTGCAAAAGTTCAAGAATACTGAGATATTCATCCAGAAAAGAAAAAAATTGAAAGTGTTATCTTAAAAGACAGAAGAAATAACAAAAGCGTTTTCTGAAGTGCCATCTGATATAATAATACATCCAATTTGTTACATTATTTATCAGATTGCCATCCCATTTTTCTATGAGATCACATTCTTTAAACCCAAGAATCCAAATGCACTGCTTAGTTGAGAAAAGTCTTAAAGCTTGAGTCTAATAAGCTTTTCAAGGATGCTTATTGTGGAGCCCAACTTGAGTTACTTACGATCTTCAAGCAAGAAATAAATAGGCATTGCCATTTTAAGTGCATTGGCATATCAGTTCATCTGGCACTTGAGAGCATGCAATTTTTCAAAAGCTTGGTTCCTTCCAGGCAGAGGAAGAGCACAAGAAATGAATCAGATTTGTCAGCTGTGTCATGGATTTTACATTCTGTTTTCTACTCTTGATACTCCCACCCAGGAACTGTGTGCAATTGTGAAGCCAGATCCTTCCTAGTTAACAACAGACATGGGAAACATCAAGGATATATGATAGAATCCCTATTCCTGAAGTGCTGTCTACTAATTTTTCTGCCCACTGTGGTTTCTGGTTGAAAATGCTTTTAATATTTCAAACCTTCCCAACACCATTGCAAGACAACAGACCGTATCTTCATCTCTATCTCTATCTCTATCTCTATCAAGTACCTTCCCATTTCTCACAAAAGAATCTGTATTTCCAGATTATATTTTCCTTGCAGGACCCAGTACCATTTCAGAAAAAGGAGTAATAACCTTGCTTAGTTATAGAATTGGAATTATTATTATTTAAGTTTTCTCCAGTATAAATAACTAGTGTAGTGTTCCAGAACTTAATATTTCTTTCTGATATTTCATCGTTTGTGATAAATCATCTTCCCTGATGATACAATATTCCAGGAATGGAAGTTGATACTTAGGAACCTGTATCTAGTTCGATTTGATAGCTCTAAGGAGGAGCAATCAGTTATGGGTAGAATTCCTGCAATTGTCCAGATTTTCATGTTAAATTACTCTCAAAGATAGGGTGATAGGCTGATTATTAGCATATATCTAGGCTTCCTTTTTCTTTAGAATTTAGAGTCTGGGAATGGGAAAAGCCAATGCAAGTCTCTAGGTAACTTTTGATTGCTTCCACCCCTCCACCTTTATATTTGAAGCATGTGCCCACATACACCTCACATGCATATAATGTTATTGTTTGGATTTGGATATGAATAACACACCTGGATAATGTGGACTTGGATATGAACAACACATTCAAAGTTATTCTTTATGATGGGTTTCACTAGGTTTCATTGGTATATCTCCTCAGTCCTCTTTATCTTCCAAATCCTCCAAAATGGCAATTCATGCAGAAGATTCAGGAAATGAAATAAAAAAAAATGGAAGGAAGTCTTGGGGGGAAAAACAATCTACCCTTGCATAGTCAGTTAATGAAAGAAAGAAGTCCAATGGTGTAGAGCAGGGGTCCTCAAAATTTTGAAACAGGGGGCCAATTCACAGTCCCTCAGACTGTTGGGGGGCGGACCAGTTGGGTGGGTGTAGCTAGGTGGTCATGTTTCTGGGTGGGTGTGGCTAAGTGTTATGTGACTGGGCGGGCATAGCCAATTTATCAGTCCATTAAACAATACATGCAAATTAAATTTTAATTTATTATGTTCCTGGGGGTGGAAAGCAGGTTAGTGAAGGGATGTGGCTGCCTGGGGAGGAGGGGGAGGGACTTGTGCGTGTGTGTGTGTGTGTGTGTGTGTGTGTGTGTCTTCCCCCCTCTCTCTCTGCAGCCTGGGGAGGGTAACAGTACCACTCCAGTACCACTTTGTGGTCAAAAAACAGGCCTGTTTTTGGCCTCCTGAGGCCTCTGGGCATCTTGTTTTTGGCCCCCTCAGCTTCCAGAAGGTGAGTGGGGGCCAGCAGATAGGTGAGGAAATGTGGGCGGGACAGCCTCATGGTCCCATGCAGGCCAGATTAATGACTTTGGTTGGCCGTATCTGGCCCGCAGACCATAGTTTGAGGACACCTGGTGTAGAGGTTTGTAGACTGATTTGGCTCTGGCCACCCTCATCTAACATGCCATGGCTCAAGTTTTTTTAAAGCTTCACAAAATTTACCCAAATAAATTATTCTGGGACTATTATCAGGATCACAAACAATCTTTATAATACCAGCATTAGTAACAGTAACAGAGTTGAAAGGGACCTTGGAGGTCATCTAGTCCAACCCTCCTGCTCACGCAGGAGACCTATACTAGGGATTAGGAACAGGCATTGCTTTGCATTACCATCCACTTGTATCCTTCTTCTTTACTCAGCTTTCCCATTCCCCCCACCCCCAAATCATTTGAAGAAACTCTCAAAAAAGCATAGATCAATCATACTCCTAAGTGCCTTACGATGGTCTGTAAAAGTTAAATGTGGCCAGAAGTTTCTCTATAAGAAAATAATAATAAAATGCTGCATAAAATATAAAATTATAAATTTTGGTGATCGATTAGACTCCATCTCTCTGTGGATCTTGGACAAGTTCTGACCTTCTTGATATTCCTTGAACTCAACTAGATTGCTTCTCCTCAATAGCATACAATCAAGCTCTAACCTCTAGCACTAATTCATCATGTGCCTGAAATGAAAAGATGTACATGAAAACAACTTTTGGACTAATAAATGAAAATCATGTGTCCCATGTTATTTTACACAAACACACCCCTACCTTTTGGGGGTGAGGGGAGGAACAACAACAACTCTGGGCTGACCTCTAGTGTTCTTAGTACTTCACCT